AGAAGCAGGTGAGTGACGTGCTGTTGTATCAAGATCCCTACACAGACAATGAGATTTTAAAGGGGAATAAAGGCAGACAGGGCAGCAAGATGTGGCTGGCTCTTGGAACGACACCTGCAATAGAGAGCACAGCCACAACTCCTATGAACAAAAGTTAAGCCCACCTACCCAATAAAGCGTACGAGCTGCTAGGCACTCTGACAGGACTCGGGTTCAGAGTCTCCTACTAAACTGCCTTAAAAGCTTACACCAATTTATCTAGCACTTCTCCTTTAGCAGCAGAAAATAAAGTGGGTCAAAGGCAGCTTTTCAGCAGGAAAATCAATCTAAAATTACAACACTTGGGGAAACCTAGGCAATGATGAGAGAGAACAAGGAGCATTGCTGCACTGCATTTTCTCCTGTGTAAGAGGTACAGGCCACAAAGCATTTATACACCATCTTTGCTCAAGCCTTCGGAGGACCATTACCCTTCATTTCTGCACAACAACTCAACAGTCACTAGGCACTACAAGAAATTGTAGTAAAACCTCCTCAACCCCAGATTTGCTCTTTGGCTTAGCTTAGTAAATATAAGGATGGAAGAGTCACCGCTGTTGAGGTGCGAAGAAATGTATTCTGGAAACTCAGTCTGCCTCTTGGTATCCAAAGAGATTAAGGAGAGCTTTATAACAAAATAAATCCCCTTCTCTGCCCAGGACGGGTGCATTCCGCCATGTCTCTACGGAAAGATTTCACAGCACTAAACATCCATAAGCTTTCATTTTTTTATTTCTTTTTCAGTGGAAATATGTCAGAGCCCAAACACGATGCCATTTGATTTCCTGTGTCTGGAGTGTTTGAATCTCACCCGGGCCATTTTGGAGACTTGATGCTGGGCTCTGCAATCAAAACTTTGTTTTGAGACTTACTGTGTTTTCTAAAGGAGACCTTAAGGTACGACAATTGCTCCATTTGCAGTGCTGGAGTATTATTCTGTGCTGTAAATTCCTCCCTACAAACACTAAGCCTATTTTTTTGAGTGGATGTGGACGCTGGATGTGCTGGTGTGCAAAAACTCATTTGTACCACATCACGTAAAGACAGCCCAAGGCTATGCCATCCACAAAGGAGAGAAGAGCAACAAGTAGCATCACCACTACAAGCATATGAAATCCTGTTTAAAATTCCTGCTGCTTTTTTCCAATTGTACCTCCCACCCTTTCAGACCCCTAAAAGTTGACAGGACATTCAAAGACACTGTGCAGCTAATCACAAGACTGACGGTTGCACCCTGTGGCTGTCCAGCTACAATACAACATAGACACCACCTTTGTCTGTCCTAAACGCAGCTCATTATTCAGCCTTAAACCTAGTTCTGGAGTTCTCATCCGCCTCTCTAATGACTTACGGGTTTTCATAACTTTCTCCCTGAACGCAGCAGGAAACCATTCACCATTGCTTACTAGCTCCAAATCTTACTTCTCCTATGTTGTGCTTTTTCTCTTCCCCAAAAAGCATCGCTTTATCATCCAGTTTCTCCTGGAAAATTCCTGTGCTCCCAAAACTCTGTGGCTTTCCTCTCTCCACCTTTCTTCTAGCCAATTCTCAAGCTACTAAGAGGATAACTGCAGGTGTTATGCATGGAGACAATTCCTGTACGTGCAGGCAATTCAAGTGCAGTTTTTGTTTGCAACCCCCCAACTATGCATGTAAAAGAGGCCAAGGGAATCAGCAGGTTACTGTTTTCCTCTGCACTTGCAAATGTGAATTTTTCCTGCTATGAGATTTTGTGAGTGCCAAATGCTTTGCCAAAGATTTTCATATGATCTGGCTGGAGGGCAAGAAGCGTCAGACGTCTCATTGCAAACTAGGTTTCCAGCCCAGTTTTGTCCTCAGAAGCGATCCAAATGACTTTTAGAGGAATCTGACTTTGCAGTGATCTTCTGCTGCACCCCCTGTTCGTACCTACAAGAGCCCTGCAGTCTAAAATATCCTGAAATTAATCCGATTTAGTTTTATACCTGTCTGGTCTGTCCTGTCATCCCTTACTTCAACTGCTTTTCATCCTCCGCTATGCAACATGTTGTTCCCTTTTCCTCCTGTACTTGCATAAGAGAAATACAGATCTAAAGGAAAGCAATTATTTTGCAAGTAAAACTAGAACCACCCAGGCTAAATCAGGCAGTTTTCTGGCATCGTCTTAAAAAAGCGGGGCTCAAAGTACAACAGAGAAAAAACCCAGCCTCCTAATTATGAAAGAGCGATCAGCTGAATAAGAAATACAAGAAAAAAAATGGAGAGAAGAGCAAAGTGAAGTGTGTTTGGGTTAAACGGTCCTTGACAGGACCCTGAAGGAGCATAAACCTGCCGCAATGGTCCTGCAAGCAAAAAAGGGGTTACAGGCACCTTCTCTAAAGGCCCCAAAGGCTTTGCAGGCATCTGGTTCAAATTACTTACCAAGAAAGACAGAGAGTGAAGGGGGCGGGGGGGAATATGCAAGAATAGAAATGAAGAGGCAAGCAAGCGACCTCAGCTAACAGAGGAGAGGAGAACATGACAGCCCAAATGGCAGTTGTTTTCTCAGCACAGGACAACCAGCGAGTGGGCTGCCTCGTGGCAGCACACTGAGAAGTGCTGCGTGGAGAAGGCAGCTCTGTTTTGTAAACCCGAGTGGCAAATTTTCCTCTTCAGCCTCCCTTGCAGAGCTGCGGACAAACTGTGCCAGAACTCCGCTTGCATATTTTTTGAAATGCCTGGTACTTATTTTTAAATATTAATTATCATTCATGGCAGCAAAACCATGCAGTTTCCCCCTTTGGGAGCGCATCGTTTGGTCCCAGGGCAGGTGTCTGGTCCCAGCCCGCGCTAAACAAGTGTCTCACAGATGGAATAACTGAGCCGACCTCTTGCAGAGCTGATGGAAGGATTGATTGTGTTGGAGTAAAGTCAAGCCGCGGGGTTGTGGCATTAGACAGAATGGGCAAGAAACTTGCCTGGTAAGGCCATCATGATCCTAAGCACCAAGGTTTGTTCCAGGATGTTGTTCAGACATTTGTGTACAACAGTCTGAGATTCATTGATTCCTCTCCTTTGTTTTTCCCAGTTTCTAAAATCATCCTCCCAGCCTTTGAAAAGTGTAGGGAGAGATGGGAGGGTCAGCCAAGTCAAACGATCCAAGGTTTTGGGCCTTAGAGTAAATGGGCTGGCTTGTTTAGTTGTTTGGTGTGGTTTTTTAGAAAACAGGATAGCACAAAACAAGACTGTCATTAAACCTACCACAAACAGTATGTTTACAACATCACACACAAAAGGATATTAAATCTTTTCCCCTGAATCGCAAAACAAACAGCACTGGTCAATGCACTGAAAAGTTAAACTGGCCCAGAATATTTCAGTCTCCAAATTAAACAAAAATAAACAGACAGACAGATTTTTCTAATTCAGCCTTTCCAGCCAGCAACACAGATGAGATGTGCTCGTGACACAGGTGAGGATATTTTCTGCAATAAGATTATCATTTTGATCACACCTGATGCAAATCCACTTTCCAAACTTGTTCTCTCCACTGGCTGCGGGGGTCGGACTCACGGTGTCCTATTCAACAAAATACTAAACACTACTTGTGATTCTGGGCCAGAATAACAGCATAAGCTTTTTCACGCAGGCAGCCCAGGCTCCAGTTCCAGCCACTGATCTCTCGCTCTTAGCACTGGCCAGACCGAGGAGAGACAGAAGAGCTGCATCATGTGTCCCACAGGGGAAGAAAAAACCCTGTGCGCTGGGGAGGCAGAAGCGAGCAAAGGTCTGGGTTCCCTTATCGGTGGTCATTGTACATCACTAGGAAACACCAGGTCATACATTTTAACCCAATTTTCCTAATCCATGTGGCTATTTCCCAGATGAAGGGATACAATCAAACAGGGATAGTGATGATGCAGGGTTGCCCAAAGGAGGGAGGGTTCAGAGGGAGGGTAAAGACAGGCAGAGAACCAAAGCAAACATGGCATCTCCTTGGGATGCGGCATGGTCTTCAGTGTGCATTTCAGAGAGAACAGTCTTCCCCTTGACTGCCACGGAGCTTGTCAAATTGCCTGGGAGGCTCAGAGGAAAGAGTTATCTTTCACACAATTTTACAAGGCAAAAGAAATCTTCATTTTTTGAACCATACCTCCTAAGCTTCTAAAGGAATTAAATCTCTGATCTCACCTATCGACCCCTGCGCAGAAGGGAGAGGAGAAGGAAGCGCACAAGGTCAAAGCCGACGTCTTGACTCCCCGAGGAAGGCTCGAGAGCGCCCAAATAATGTGGCAGGAGCCGACAATAGCAAAAAGGGCATCTTCTTGTCCCTTTGCTTTCTTAGCACATACTGAGCAAAGAAAATTAAGTGCTCAAATCCTTCTTATTTGTGAAAGGCCAGATCACCACTGGAGGTGGCTGGGTACAGCAAAACCTGCTTCAGCAGAAAAACAGAGACGAGCAAAATGGTTCCTTGTCCCCTTAAAAAAAAATAACCAGAGCTGGTCACGGACTAATTAGTGAAGTAATTTTACATCCAAAACTGCTGAAGAGTCAAAACGCAGCACTGCTTTTGGAAAGGGGAGGGCTGATACCTCCCTGTGCGACACGCAGACCAGAAAGCTCTTCCGAATGCAGGTCGCTTGTAGCCGGCGTGAACTTTTAGGCCCCACCAAATCATCTACGCGTAGCCCGCATGATACTTAACTGGTTTTCCAAAGAACTGCTTAAGGAGAGAGGCTACAAGATGTTGAGACACACAGAAAAGGCCACTCCATATCCCAAGAACATAAAAAGCAAAGCCAATACCTATTCCAGCCTCCCTCTACCCCACTCTCATTTCTTGTGAAACTTTCTTTGCTCCCCATTTTTCAGACAGAGAACAGACACACTGGAAATAAGCAGCAATGATAACAAACACAGTAACCAGTTCAGTTCATTGACCGTTCCGAGCAGTGTCGGCAGTGATTCATTGTAGCGGTAAAAAGAAGAAAGTCACTCACCCTCACGAAGCTGGCGGGAAACCATCCTTCTTCATCATCGATCTGACCCCACCACCAGTCCTTGTTGGAAGCATCCAGGACCTTGATAACGTCTCCTGCTTTAAACGCCAACTCCCGGTTGGCCATGGTGACGTGATCCCATACTGCCTCAGCACTTACAATAGAACCACCACTGATCAGCTTTGAAAACAGAAAACCAGCAGTCAATAAAAGCTCGGTTCCCCGACGCAAGCACATGCACAGCAGCAGCACAGAAAAAAGCGCTCAGCCAAAGTAAAACAATTTTCCTCCATTCCAATCCATAACAATTTCACCCTCACGTGATGTAATCCAGCCTGCGACCATTTCTACAGACCGCCCTTCTGCTCCTAACCATGCCACGCAAGCGAGCACCGCGTGTGGATGTTCAGCACCTCTCAGGTCCTGGCCCCACGCATGGGAAAAGCAACAACCTCCCCTGCCACCGCCACCGCCACCACCACGCCGTATTTATGAGCATGCACATCTGTCGGGGTACATGGCTTTCAGGTACAATTCGGTTAGCATAATGTATAGCTGGGACTTCCCAAAAATGGCAAAACCAAGCGATGGTGTCCTGCAAAGGAATTTTCGTTTCAGAGCAAGTTTGCTCAGTTAAAGGATCAAAAGTCAGCTCGAGGCTCAGAAGGCTTTCCATGCAAATCCAAGCAAAGTTTGCAAACGTATTTAGAAGAACACTTTTTTTTAAAAACTGAGAGTTCAGTATTTGTTTAGTGCTGGTGATGTACTGACATCCCTTGCTTTTGAAATCTTCAAGCTACGCAGTAGATAAGAAGGGCACCGTGGCACCCTGCTGACCTGTTTCAGACCCAACCTGGAGCGCAGCCCAGCTCCACGGCACATTCAAACCTCGCTCTGCCCACAAGAAACCTGCCGGCGTTGGCTGCTGTGACAGCCTTCGGGGTGCAGATACCTGCCCACTAGAAACTGGACTGAGGCCAGACTTGCGTCCGACAGGACCTACTGAACGTCTCTCCACGTAGAGCAGATGGTTGCCTTAGAGCTGGACCAGCACCACGGCAAGGACCTAACCGGTTCTCATTTTCGTTGTGAGCCACCTAGTTTTACATATATAAAACTCCTGCTTAATGCTTGTGGGAAGGACTCATCCGAACACTGATGCTTGTGCATCCACAAGACAAATCATCCATCCATGCCTGGGACACCCGCTGCTCCTCAGAATGATAGTCATGTATTTTTTTAACAGAATAATAAATTGTGTTTATCTTTCATCCACTGCAGGAATTCTGCACTGAACAGTAAGACTGCCCTAGCAAATACAGACTTTACCCATATGCTTATTAGCTTGTCAGAGCCACCCTGAACCTTGTTCATTAATTCTGCCGTCTGAGACGCACTGAATATGCACTTGGGCTCGCCTCCAAATCAGAATTTCAGCTCACAAAGAGCTCAGCGCTGCAACCATTACAGACCTTCCACATGGCAACACTTTAACAGCCACAGATACCCTTTCAATTTAGGCAAGCAATACAAAGCATAAAGACAATAACCCGTCGCAGCGGTTATGTAAGTGCCGAAGCACTGGGAATGGTTAGAGTGCTCTTAACGGCTCTTTTATAAGTTTGGCTTACCAAAATGCCTGCTAATAACTACCTGCACAGTAAGAACTTGCAGTAAGCCTTCTAGCACTGCTGCAGGGTTCTCAGCATAAACATATAAGAGCATTCAAGTCCCTACAGGCAATTCAGTCAACAGATTAAAGGACCTGATTTACTGTTTTCCTTGAACTGACTTTCCTTTAAGAAATCAAGCTCCTTAGGTTTGTGACAATTACAGTTGCAGTTTCAGCTCTTCAATTATCAGAGCCAGTTGTACGTAAAGCAGCAAGATCTAAGAGAGCCTAACTTGACACTTAGTGCCTTTCATCCTCAAAGCCAAGATGTATCTAGTCAGCGGACCTCTTGTTTCTGCAGTAGATAAAGTAAAACAATGTTCTTCCTACTTCGATTTTGACAAATCGTCCTTTCTAGTCCAAAATCAGCTGTAAAAGAAGCATGGCTTGTCTGTATATCATATAGGGGATTTCCACACACGAGCCTCACAAGATCACCTGATAGCAGACAGAAAAAAAGGCGCGGGTTAATAGCAAGCTCTCGTTGAAGAGTCAAGCAATGGAGCTAATCGATGTGCAGAACTTATCGCAGAGGGTGTCTACTGTATTAGTGTGGATTTCTCTCACGTTTGGGCATTTGGCACAGAGCTGCAAGGAGCTAGGCACCAGAGGACCCCATCCAAACTAGTGGCAGCTGAAGCCAGATGGGTAAGGGCCCTCAGTTCCCCCCAGCTCTGGGCCCTCACTTAGCAAAGTAGGGTAGCTACATCTGGAAAAATAAGAGTTATAAAGATTGATTTCTGTTTCCAGTGCAACAACTGAATGCTCAGCCCAGGTAGTGATATGTTTCAGTGCGTCCTCACAACACCTCGCATCGCTCTCAATCAAGATTTCTAGATGCTTTCATAAATATGAATCAGTTTAAACCACAAAGAACCCCAGAACAGATCTGGAAGGAATGAAGACTTCGCAGCTGAAGAAAACCCCCTTAATACATTCAAGACCAGTTAACAGTCATCTGTTCTTCTGCCAGGACTGAGCTCTTCTCCTCCCCCAGTGTTTCCCCTTTGCCGTATTTATGGACACTGTCCCTCCTCGCCCCAGCCTGTGGTTTCCCAGGTTAAGCAAGCTCTGCTCTTTCAGCCTTGTCCTGGCAGACGGCTCTTCCTTCCCCTGAGCATTTCACCAGCCCTTTTCGGCATCTAGATATTTTGCCCGCATCTTTCTTGAACACAGATGACCAGAACTGTAAACTCTATTCCCAAAGAGACCTTACCAGAGATCTGTGAAACAGCAGGAAATATTTATTACAGTGTCACAGAAATCTTGCAGTAATACATAAGATCTCCCCCTTTTTCCCATGGCTACCTCCCACCAGTGGCTCATGGTGATCTTGCATTTAGCTTATCTAAATAAAAGAGGTAGCGTACATTCTCTTTGTCTAGAAAATCAGTTTTCTTGTCACAAAATAAATCAGGTTGGCCTGACACTTGTTCCTTTTGTCAATGCCAGTGGGTATTTTAGTCCATTTTTCACTGATGATGAACCAGGAACGGAGCTATTACGCAGAAGCTGTGTTTCTGCTTTTTCTGCTTCAGCTGACATAGACTTTGCTGTCACTTCACACACAGGCAGTTCTGGGCACAAACTGCCACAGAAACGTCACTGAAACCAAACTTCAGAGGGATTGTGTTTTAGAGCTTCCTAGCCTACTTTGCAAAAGTGCATTTCCGAGCCTGAGGCACAAAATCCCAGCTCCAAGGAGCTTGGCCAGTGGCAAGGGCTGGCAGGGACTTGCAGAGGGCCAGAAAAGCAGGGGGGTGTGCTCGGCCTTTTTCTGCCGTTAACGCAGAGATCTGGAAGATGCTTTCAGTGGATGTCAGGAGCCGAGGTGGCTTTGCAAGGTGTTTCTTGATACTCAAGGAGAAAGGCTGCAAGTTCTTGGTTTTCACCGTCTAGTGCCAGCAGACAGAAGAAAGGCCCTTTAGCTGGTCCTTTCCAGCCCCTGGCACATATCACTAGCCCAAGAAAGGGATCCACATGCCAGGAAGCCTGCAAGCAAGCCTTGGCCTTCCAAAATACAAATACAGTTCAGCCTGTAAAAAAAGGACAGCAACGGGATGGCAGAATTCGAGTTCCAGCCATTGCATGTGCTGGGTCCATTGAGAGAAGGTCAGAGCCTAAAATTAAAGATCCAGTTTAATTTATTTTGCAAGACATCTTGCTGCATCTGTGGAGCCGTCTGACTCTTTCAGGGCAGGGTTACAGAGACAGATCCTGACATCTGCAGCAGCAAGAGATGATGAACTAGAGAAAGGTCAGGATAAAATGTTATTTTCTGAGAGAATTCAACATAGGAGCTCTTCGCTCCAGAAAGTTCACGTCTCTTGGTTTCAAATCTGGGTCTTAGCACTGTGGTCAGACATACTCAGCCAAAGACCTTGAAAGGGACTTAGCTCCCGTAATTTTAGATGCCTACCACACAGCATCTGAGACAGTCATCTGGACTCCTTTATAACCAGTGAAGAGAAAGAGACACATCTGGAGTGTGATTCACCTCGGCTATTTCAGTTGCGTACCTTCGAGTGAGGTGAATCATGCCCTAGAAATTACTACTTCTCTGTGTTTAATTGGGTGATGCAGAAGTTTACATTTCCAACATCTTACGCTCATCCCATTTACAATTTGGCCATCACTAAAAAGGGGTAACAAAGAACTGGATTTAACAACGATAATCACAATAGGAATAGTCAAATATTAAATCACACTCCCTCAGACACAGCAGCTTCTCAGTATGCGAAGGTGGTTGTAAATGAAATTATGTTCTCCGTGCCCATCGGAAGAATTCACAAAATCCCAGCCTTGTAAATTTACAATAATGAAGACTTAGATATTTGGGAAAAATGTCCTACTCATAAGAAGGGGGAGGTAGCTAGAAGAAATGCAATAGGTGATAATATACATTTGGTTTTGACATACCCTGGATACTGCTTGTCTTCCAGGTGAACGTCCTAGTTCCCACTAAAATCAATTATTCTTGTCAGTTGGTTGTTCAAACTAAAGAGCCCAAAGAGAAGAGTTCCTCGACGCTTTTACCATGTAACATCAGTGCAGGAGAAATGCCCAAGAGCATTTCTTAACAACAGACCTGAGAATAATTTTTACTGTTTTACGGGAGACTTCAGAGGACTGCCAACCGCTTTCTGTCTGGGGTGAAGAAAAAACTTTCTCAGCGCGCAGAAGACCAGATTAACTATCGGGATGCTGGGCATGGACTAGGGACCAGAGACACTGTTCAGCATGGGTCCTTCTTCACCTCCTAGCAAACACCTGGTCATGGCTGAAGATAAGTACCAGGCTAGGCAGATGAGGGGCCACTTCTATGTCCCAGCACCACAAATAAATTTACTTAATGAGGAAGAGAAAAAGGGAATAAAGACAATGCTCCTTCTAATTATATGCACAGCTGACACGTTTCTGGAACACACACTAAGAGCAAGAACATGGGCTATTATCACTGTATCACCAGGATCGCATCAGCCTTTCCAGGGATTTTGACTACAGGTTT